GATTGCATGATTTACTTTTATTGTGAAGAGCATGAAAACGGAAGTGCTTTTACTTTGAAGAGACAGGAAGTAGAATGGTACGTGTTCTTGACGCCAACAATGTTGATACGTAGAAAACCACATGTCGGTGCAAGAGCGTGTTCTGTTCACTGTAACACTGTAATACTGCAGTTCAGACAGTAAAGTATTCCGTTTGATCTGTAACGAGACGATCGCGCTCGCGTGTGTGTGTGTTTGTGAGACAAGAGTGAAGGACGGTGACGGAGTGTAGGAGGGGTTCTGGACCCAGGTGGGGGGGAAGAAGGAAGTGACGCCACACGAACACAGCTGTTCACTGCCTGGTTCTTGTGTTAAAAATGTCGCTTAATAATAAAAAAAAAAACATATATATATATATATATATATATATAGTTAATTATTGATATTGTGCGTTAACGCATTTTTTTGAAAGTCCGTTGTTCACTGGCAGCGGTGGAGGAATGGAGACTACTGGACATCGCTGGGGTAAAGTCAGCAGACACTCAGATCTCTGTGGTCAACTCAGCAGACACTTACACTTTAGTGTACCTATATGCTGAAATTCATGGTAAACGCATTCAAACGGCACAGATCGGGACCGAGCGAAGGACTTTGTTAGCAGAAAGATTAACGTGAGACAACATCTGGTTTCTTCAGACGAACATCCGGTTTTCAGAATAAGATGCGAACAAAGTATATTCACATTAAGTATAAAACATGCTACCTGCATCTCATGAGTTAAAGGGAAAATACACCTAAACTGTGCGTAAAGTGTCTATATTCTTTGATCGCTGGGTCACCATCATTACCTCAGAGTTACAGCATTATATTGATGAACAGTAGAGCTGCATTCACATGCTCTGACTGTCATGACGACACAAGACACATTTAGATGAAATGTGCTGAAACATGTTATTCATCTTGCACAGCAGTGGAACGTTTCACATAAAGTCAGCACACTGAGCACAGATAGTGAAGAGATAGAACTGCTACTGTGTAAAGGGAATACTGCTGTTAAAAAGCACCTTATGTGTTTAAAGCGTTTGCAAACCAAATGTCATTGCCCTTTTGTTCATATAGCAGTACTTTTAAAATAAAAGTGCACAATACACTACTTTTGAATTCATTATTGAACTTTGCCATAACAATGCGATTAATCGCAAAAAATACATGCGATTAATCGCGATAATTTTTTTTTATCATTTCCCAGCACTAATATATATATATATATACACATATATTGCGACAGGCCTACCTCCATTCTGCTGTGTGTCCCTTATCCGGCTCAGCAACCACGCGATGGCCTCCTCCTTGGTGTTCGAGGCGAGCTCCACCACCACCAGAGGATTGAACCTGGAGCCCCCGCCGTCTGCTGACAGCCCCCGCAGCATCTTCCCTTCTCCCAGGTCACCTGATACGCAAGCTGAGAGGGTTTTATACATCATTTATATTTATTCAAGTAAAAAAATGTATGACTCATTATCTTAATTAAACTTATAATATAAAATAAAACATTACACAAGCTAAATTCTAGAAGTTGAAATTGTTGCTTAAGATCAATAAAAACCTGATAAACTAGATCACCAAATGTCCTCCCTCAGTTCCAGCTTTGAAACAAGGGGGCGCTGTTGTTGCTATTCCCTCATGTTAATAGCCCACAGAGAAGAGAAAAAAGAAAAAAAGAACAGAACAGAGCAAAGTCAAAGTAAATATTGTCACCTATAGTTTACACAAGGTGTGACTACTATGATCTACTGCACGGGGTGACTGGATCTATTCCACACCCACACACAGTGAAGGGAGAACGGAAGACAGAGAGCCTGCAGCTCACTGACAGAAACAGCTGAGGCAGAAAAAGGGAGGAGGCTGGTGACGTTAGTGTGGAAAAGCAGCGTTGGAAAGCGCAGACTGCTCCAGTACAAGTCTGCGTTCGTGACACAGACTGCTCCAGAGCTAAAACATCCCGGTACTCACTCGGATCTGTGTGTCTGCGAAGGAAATGGGCTCTGTTCCAGCCTCGGGAACAGTCAGATTAGATTTAGAAACAACATACGACTGTGCGTAGTTCGTTTTTGAGAGTCTGGAGGCTGCTGCGCCCGGTGGACTGGAGTAAGTTAAGAAGTTCCACGTCACAAGCGGCGCAGCAGGCTCGGTCGCGCCCACCGACGTGACAGCAGCTCTGGTATCGATGTGGACGTGATGTCGAAATCAATCACGACGCGCGCTCACATTTAAGACTTTACAAACTGATTTTACAGAGAAGAGATATACATATTTAGCTTTCCCATGATCCCACAGGCTACAACTGGAACTACCAAACCAAAGAGGAGCAATTGTTTAAGTGTGGTTGTAAAGAAGATTTTTTGGGAGTAATAATCACATCCATTGTGCCATGCACTCTTCAGTGAGATGGACAACTATACTGTATATGTAATGGAGCCATGGGTCATTTATGGAACTTAATCAATTACACCTGTGCTTTTTCATGCTAATCATTTGCAAAGTGCGATATTTATGTTCACATATGCTAATTATATTAGAAGCCCCTTGAATCCCACTGTAGCTTATATGGTTTATAATGAAATAAATACAAAGCCTGCGTTTCTCGCTAGACTGTCAATACTTCTATCTTTTTATGGTACATTAGAACATATTAAAAACGGGAGTGAAGTTATTTGTGTTCGTAAAGCTATCAATGACTTTGAAACGCTAGCCTAGTACTTAATTGAAGAAGACATACGTACGGTAACGGTTTCACACATAACATGTTAGTGAACCAAAAGCTGTCAGATCGTACTAAATAATCTATGTTACGTTGAAGACATTTTTTTTTGCATTTATCTCGCAACTTACCAGGTCCTCTCCACTGCTGAGCAGCAGCAGCAGTCTTCTTCTTCTTGTTTGAGGTTTGTTGGCGGTTGGCAAACAATGAATTAGTGCATTACCGCCACCAACTGGTATGGAGTGTGGATCAGGATGTCTAATAGGCTACTTGCATACAAAATGAAATTCAAAAGGAAAAGAAAAAAGAAACAAAACAAAACAACGAGCTTATATTTTCGTAATAATATTAATTAATCTAAATTATTGAAATAATACTTGATAACACTCACTTTTTGAGTTATTTTGCAGAATATCCACTATATCAAACCGTACCTTCATCTTGCCGAGATCTCCAATCAGCTGCCCTCTTTCCTGCTCATATTTCTGACATTGTACAATTACATGCTCTATTGTTTCCTCTTGCTCACAATAGTCACATTTTCCTGTTTACCTATTTTTTTAAGCATACCATTTAGGCCTGTATGACCAAATCTAAGCCTTGATATTACAGTTTCCTCTCTCCTGTTCTTTCCTGCACATCTCATTTCTCCCACTTTCCTCTGAACTCGGTAAAACCATCGTCCTTTCCTGTCTTCTTCCCATTGCTTCTGCCACCTTTCCTTCAACCTCTGTTTAATGGTACTTTTTGTTTCTGATTTACTGAAGCTGACTGCAACATTAATACAACTATTTTTTGTGGCCTCTTTTGCAGCTTTATCTGCCATCTCATTTCCTATGACCCCAACATGTGCTGGTACCCATAGGAATATGACTGTCAGACCCATCATTTGAATTCTGTATAATGTTTGTTGTATTTCTATAAGGATGTCTGGTCTACTGTCTGAAAGGCTGTTCTGTAAGCTGGCTAATGACGAACTTGAATCTGAACAAATGATTGCCCTCAATGGTCTTGTGTCCTCTATTCACTGTAGTGCTGACATTATTGCCAGCATTTCCCCTGTGTACACTGATACTCCCTCAGTGATCATTTTCCCTATTTTAATATTAAATTCTGGGACAATAAATGCCACTCCTACCTTGTTTCCTAAATTCTTTGATGCATCTGTAAAAGCCTGGATATAACTGTGGTAACTGTCGATATGTGCCTGTATTGTATGCCAATTGAAATGATCTGCTCTAGCCTTGTTCTTCTTTTTTAATAATGTAAAGTCCACTGTTGCATCAGGAAGTATCCACGGTGCTATTGTTGGTAATGGGACTGTTGGACTGATGTTTAATTTAGCTATGCCAAGTTCTGTTTCTTTCTGTGCTACTGTCCAGCCAAAGCTTCTTGTCTTTTGTTTCTCCTTTTCCCAGCAAGGTTTCAACGTTTCCTGTGTTGGATGTTCTTCACTGTTTTCCCTGTAGATTTGCCCAATAACTCAATGCTAACTGTGTTCTTCGTAGTTCTAGCGGCATTTCACCCATTTCACCCTGTAATGCAGCCGTTGGGGTTGTTTTAAAGGCACCGGTGCATATTCTTAATGCCTGATATTGAATAATATCCAGTTTTTTAAGAGATGTGCTTGCTGCTGATCCATACACCACACACCCATAATCTAATATAGATCTAATTAATCCACTGTATATGGCTTTCAAAGCAATTCTATCTGCCCCCCATTCACTTCCCACCAAACGAGCAGCAGCAGTGTTTAGGGAATGTTTAGAAAAGCCAGTTCCGGAGTGTCTCACGCTCTGAAGACGGGTGCGCTCGTTTTGCGTTACAGTGTGAGAAAAGAAGCGCGCGATGAGCGGGGGCAGAAGCGTGACGCACGGGCGTCGCGGAATTGAGCCGCGGAAGGCACCGCTCGGCGGAGTTATCTCGACCAACGAAGCAAACGTATTAGATCATATCGAGGCTACGTCAGAGTCGCTCGCGCCACGAGAGTTACAGTATGGCCGAGCAAGCGGTGACAGGAGCGAACAGCGGGTGAGTGTTTTCCTCCGACCCAACTCGCGTCAATGTTTGTAAAATATATTGAACGATTCATATTTAACCCGTTACCAGCATGTTGTTGTCATACACCGTCAAAGTTCAATACGTTGTGAAAAGTCAGGCTGAAGTTCAGGTAAACAAACAAAACATGGTGCCCCGAGGTGTATCCATGCTGTTGGTAGTACTTTGTGGAACAGACCTCAAAGTTACCAGAGTAACGTCACCACTGATGGTTTAGAAAAGATGGCACGGTTTGAATGTCGTCCCTACAGCGCATTGAATAGCGTTACGCGCGCCACCCTACTGACAGCCATCATCAGCTGTACCGTGACCACTATCTCATCGGGCAACAATCACTTTTTGTTTCATTTCGTTCTGGCTTCAGGGTTCTCCAGAGAATGATGTCTGTTGTTGGTGCCCACAGTCTGGTCAGCAGCGTGTGGGGCTACGTGGACACCACAATAAAGTAAGTCTGTTTTTGTTGTTGTTGTTTTTACCCACCCATCCACATAACGAAGCAGGCATGTGGTGTGGCCCTCTTAAATCATCACAAGACTGTTTAAGATGCAACATTGTTTCTGCTTAGAGATGTGTTTTTCTTGTTGTTGTTAAATATCAGACACAAATTATTATTCCATGTAAACATTCTTACATTTCTGAAATCATGTCTGTATGGGGTGTGTTCCCACACTTACAGTGTCTATCACTCGCTCCTGTAATGTTGTTTTAATTAACTAGTTGCTTTTAGTCTTACTGGAGCACTCGCATGATGCACTTTCCAGCAGTTGGCAAACATTATAATTAAATACAATGTAATAGCTCAAATTAGATCAGTTTAATACAACATCCCTGAATTAAATCCTAGTTTCATAACGGTTATAAATAATGCAGTTTTTTTATTTTCTCTGCCAGAGTGAAAGGCGGTAGGGAGATCATGCGTTCGCTCTCGTGCGTATCTGTCTGTCTGTCCACGGCTTATCTTACATACCGCTGTCCCCCGCTATCAGCCTCATCTTTACTGTGCTCATTTATCACCGTATGCTCAAGGATTTCTCGTAGTTGCGGTAATTCACAATCAATTGACTGTTTTAACTGTCATTGAATGCAGAGTCCGTGCCCCTCTTAACCGGCCGGTAGGCGCAGCAAGTGATCGGCAACTGCTTCAGTGGCAAAAGGCATTTCCAGCGATGGGCTAGGCTAAGAACAAGCCTTACTTTAGTCTATCGAAGGGCCACATTATTGTCGTGGTTCAAAAAGTGACATTCATCGAACAGTTTGGTTTCATTTTTAACCGGTGCATCCGCAGATTAATAAACAAGAGGGGAGATTTCTGGTTGAAACTGCTCCCTTTGGAGGCTGGTGTGTGTGTGGTGCTGCCAAATTCTATTGCATTACACTGACAGGTGTTTTCTAATATTTTGGCCATCCCAGTATTTATGAAGGTAGACAAAAGAAGCCTCTCAACTAACAACTGTACTGGTCGTTGTGTTACGACACAATTCTGCACATAAAGAACAATTATCTTGCAACGTCAAACAAGGCCATACACAAAGAAATAATGTACGTGGAGTGTGGACCACTTAACCTGGAGGTAAAATAGAAAATCGGGATGCAAAATCTCTCAAAAACAACATGAGAAAACCAGCCTGTTCTCACTCCCAACTCCTCAAATAAGTCAGCTGGACTGACTGGAGACAATGGAGTCACGTATGAGGAGTGTCTGGATCTGGTTGAACTTCTGCTATTTTCTTCGTTCGTTTCCTCTGCAGAAACTTTATTTTGGCATCTCCACACATTGTCACACAGGGGTTACCAAACTCTGTAGCTAGATGACCTAACACATAAAAATAACTACTTCATGAACTAGATAATAATCAGTGTTTTTGTCACAGCCTTGCTCTCTTTAATGTCCTGTCCCCTAAACCACACTGCGTCAGCAGAGCCCGCCTATGAATTTAGGGAAGTACCTTCCTCTTTACTCACCGAGCAGCTGATGCAGAGATGATCCAACACAGCTGACCAGAGCAGATCGCTCCTAAACACAAAAATGCTCACATTCAGTCCTCATGGATGCTCTTTTTAATAAACTTATTGCCTTATGATGTTATATATCTCGGCTTCGGTCTGAATCCTTTAAGCGTAGTCACTATGATTATTTGAAGTTGAGTTGTTTTTTTCTGTCCGTGAAGGTGGTGCTGGATCCCCAGCTGGCTGCCGTCATGGTGTCCCACCTCTCAGATCCAGCTGCAGACTGCAGAGGACATGATGCTGCGATGTAAGGATCAGCTTCTCTGGCTTTTAGTTCCCACGTGTGTCCGTCAAAAACGTGGGCGCTTTATTCATTGAAAGAGTAATGATTGCGTGGTACAAGCTTCATTTTTACCGTTAACCTTTTTTGTACATACTGGACATAATTTCAGCAGAGATGAGAGCGTGTCACGCATAGCAGTTTGTTGTGTAAGACAAAATATACATTTTCCACCATAAAATACTGCGTGAATGAAATGTTTGTTATAATCACCTGGTGTAAATTATTCTTTTATTTATTTTTGCTTGGATAACAAAAATCCCTTTCTTCAGCCATTTTCAACATACAAACAAATAGTGATTAAAATGGTTTATGTTAAATTGGCTTAAAAATCTAAACAGCGCTCTTTTAGCCATATTGCCCAGTCCTACCGTCATGCAAAGGGCCTTACTAGAACCAAGTTCTTCGGCTTGTCCCCATAGGTGAGCCCTTTTTGGTTCTTAGAAGAACCTCTTGTAAAGGTTCACAGCGGGTTCTTCCGAGAACCCAACTCTTACTGTATATAGGCCAAGGGTTTCCCCTCAAGAACCCACCTAGGGTTCCTCATTTGGCTCCTAAAGGGGTGGGGCTGATGTGGTGCAGTGCGAACCTCCAACATTCATGGTTCACAATCACAGTTTCTGGGAGTGTTTGGGTCTGGAGGATCTATTAACATCCATGTTTTAAACAATCCTTAAAGGAGTCTTTCTTCCAAAAAGGGTTCTTTGGATGAAGCAGGACGTCAGCCCTTCGGAACCCATTTTTCTCTCATGGGTTTAAAAGTACACCAATGCACTGTGGTCTGGTACGCATCCTGGGCGTAACCATCATACTCAAACAAGATGCCATTTTGACCACAAGATGGTCAAATTGACCAACTAGTAGGAATAAACACAAATGACATAAGAGTGAGGCAGTGAAACTGTATCTTTGACCTATTTCATTTCTTCCCTTTCAGTTAAAAGAAGAATTGCCACCATTCTTTTGCCGTTCTGTTTCAGCTCTACATCCCTCTCCTTCCCTGCTGTTTGCTTTCTCTTCAGGTGTAGAAAGCCCTTTCTCCAAACAGCACGTCCCCGTCTCCAATGGCAGCCTGCTGTGGACCCTGACCATCAGCGACGAACGCGTCAAAGACAAAACCCCCATGGTACTGCTCCATGGGTTCGGAGGTGGCGTGGGCCTTTGGGCTCAGAACCTGGACGCGCTCTCCCAGCGTCGGCCCGTCTTCGCCGTGGACCTGCTGGGCTTCGGACAGAGCAGCAGGCCCCTGTTCTCTGTGGACGCCCACGAGGCAGAGGACCAGTTTGTGGAGTCTATAGAGCAATGGAGGGCCAAAGTGGGTCTTGAGTCCATGATACTGCTGGGACACAACCTGGGAGGATTCCTGGCTGTGTCGTACTCTATCAAATACCCTGGCAGGTGGGTTCAGATTATGGGACTCCTCTCATCGTAACGTTTGCTTGCTTTTCATTGAAAAGGATCTTTTATCCTTCGGTGCTGATCTTGTTGATATGAGGCGCATTTGGTGTGATAAGAGTTCCACCGTGGGCAAAGCAACGCTGTAGTTCAATGTGAAACATTTATGAGCGACACTGAGTGGTGAAGGACGGCAGGTTTTTGTAATATTTCAAGTTATGATCAGAATCTCGACAGGAACTTGAGCTAGGCTGTTATATTAGATTCATCTTACAGGTGAGAGTATGATGGACAATGTATAGGACCATTGGAACTGTTGCTCCTTAAATTAATTGTTAGATGCACGGGTGGGTGATGGAGGCAAAATTATTATAACGGAAATTATGAACATGCACATGACAAAATAAAAGGTGTTGCTAATAGCGAAGAAGCTACAGAGAATTTTCCCCTCCAGCTCTGCTCGGCTTCGGCTCATTGTTTATCCGTCCGGCCCAAAGTTAACGCAGGTTTAATCGGCTAAAGAAGGCCGAGTGAAACACAATAAGTGAGTAAGTGGACCTTGAGTGGACATTGTTTTGACCAAAGACCAAAGTCGTAATACAGCAGGATTATCCTTTAATCATGACTTGAAGAACAAAGAGGCAGATGGAGAAACGCGACTCTTAACATAGCCGTATAGCCAGCATGTGATTAGGATATAGCTGTAGCGGTGTGCCTGCAATAGCAGCAGTGTCCTCCGAGCCTCTCTCCTGCCACTAGACTGTATCTCCCCCGAATCATCTCGCCTCGTCGCTTCTCCAGCTCTAAGCTTCCAGCAGGCGCCCTGGCTCTCCTCTAGGGACGACTGATAAAATGTCCTCAATCTCTTATCGCCCTCCTTCATCAGTAATGCTTCAGAAAAGAAAATCCCTCTTCCTGTCCCCTTTCTGTTATCTCAGTGTTCCAAATAGCCTTTACGTTCAACTGGGGACATACTGTGTGTCCCTATTAAGGCTGAACTGTGCTCATTGTTCATGCTATGGCTGTTTACTTAAAGGACAACATGATAGCTTACAAATTGAGGGCCCAGAGATCATTTGTACTGTGTGTATTGTTAGACCATGTGATGCAGTTGCCATGGATTTTGGATTGTTTCTGATGAATGGGCAGTGTGTCCCATAGCCTGTGTATAAGAAGTGGACGTAGTCAATGTGACGTCACCCATCGCTTTGGGGTTTTGAAGCCTCAAGTTCGTCATTTTGGCCGTCGCCATCTTGTTTTTTTGCAACCAGAAGTGACACGAAATGGTGGCGCTAAGTACAACGCTGAAAAATACATTTTTAGGCGACCGAAAATGTTTACGATTAACTTTTATTAACTGAAAACACACTGTGAAAGGGTTTTAAGTTCTAAGACAAAACACCGCCGTTCAGTCTTAAAATATACAGTGTTTCTGGTTTATGCCAACTTATCTTCATAGCTGTTGGTTTTGATAGCATTGTATTCACCAAAGTAATTGCTTAGATTTAAGAGCATGGCGACATCGCTACGGCAAAGTCAGACAGGGCGAGAAACAGAAGTCTGCTGGTGAGACCACCTGTCTGTGAACGAACCATGAGTGTAGCCGAATGATCCAAACCACTTTACCTGGAAGTAAAACTGCAAATAGGGATAGAAAGTGTCTCGAAGACAACATGAGAAAAGCGGCCTGTTCACACCCCCAGCTTGTCAAATTCGTCAGCTTGGTTAATGGCCCACTTAAACCTATGACGCTCGACATGGCGGGGGTAAAGGAGGTCAGGTGACATAGTCTATAGAGCGAGGAAGTCCTCATAGGGTGGATGTATGGGTCAAGATAGAAGGACTTTGCTCTTTACCTGCTTTGCTAAACACTTTTTACTTCTGTCTGCTCTGTTGCTGTTGTTTGCAATGTTCATGCTGTTAGCTGTTAGCTGCTAGCTGCTAGCCGCCGGCTGAGCCGTCGCCATGTTGAGAACGGTGTGGAGGATATCCCTCAATCATATATGTACTCTGAATTCCTATAGTGCTCATTTTAAAGCTTTACAATTCAGAGAATGAATGAATGACTGATGTTGGTGAAAAGAAAAATTAAACACTGTGGAGGGAAAAAATAACAAAAAAGGGCATTAAAATCAATGTTGTTGCTAATCATTGACGTATCCCAAAATGTAAAAAGTAAGTATTCAAAAGTATAAAGAAAATAATAATAATGTTTTGTTGTTGTTTATAACAACAGGGGCATTATGTAAACAAACTACATTTTAAGGGTTAACATTCTGCAAATTAATGAATATTTGGTAGTCATGATCAGGACTGATTAATATTAAATGAATATTAAAGTGTAATGTTATGGCAGTCAGTCATGTTAAGATGTATATGAGGGTCTGTAAAAACCAAACATGAAATAGACCCACTAACAGGTGAAGGTGTGTTTACCGTCTTTGTCTCCGGCCTACAGAGTAAAGCACATCGTGCTGGTGGAGCCCTGGGGTTTCCCTGAGACCCCGGACACAGTGGAGGCAGACCGTCCCATCCCGGTGTGGATCAAAGCCCTCGGAGCCATGTTCAGTCCCTTCAACCCACTGGCTGGCCTGAGACTGGTTGGACCACTCGGTAAATCAATGAGATCAGATGGAACCCTTAATGATGAAAATAAGGAGAATATGAATGCAGGGTTAATTAAAGAGTAACAGAGCATCTATAGCATACAGAGAGGAAATATGAAAATGTATGCAGTACGAATGCATTAAATGAATGAATAATAATGTGATTATAGGGTTGAATCGAGGCTCTGTAAAGAGAAAAGAGGGCATTGTTAATACGGTTTGCTAATGTTATTATAGCTGTGAGCATCTTTGAGTATTCCTTATACTTTTTTTTTCTTAATGTAAAGAAAACTAGTTCAACTACTAATTAAAAACTAGTCACATGATGAGCACATGATGTCTTTGTCAAGTGAAAGCGTTGTTCCGTTTGTGCCCTCTGATCCTCCTAATGTCCGATGTAATGAAGCAGCCCTACTTTCTTAATGGCTACATGCTTGGTTTTAACACTTGGGCGGGCCCTCTGTGGCCCCTGCAGGGCCCTCTCTGGTCCAGACTCTGAGGCCCGACTTCAAGAGGAAGTTCTCCTCCATGTTTGCTGACAACACGGTGGCAGAGTACATCTACCACCTGAACGTGCAAACCCCCAGGTCAGTCGTCGCCACGGCCGCTCTTCTTGATAACCGCGATGAAAGCAATTTGTTCTTTACCCTCGTTGCAGTCATCCGTTAACGTCATGTCTCTTCTTCTTCTTCTTCTTCTTCTTCGTCGTTACAGTGGGGAAACAGCCTTTAAGAATATGACCGTAAACTACGGCTGGGCTGTGAGGCCGATGCTGCAACGGATGGACCAGCTTCAGCCCAAGATCCCCATCACCATCATCTACGGATCCCGATCCAGCATAGACAGCAACTCGGGAAGAACCATCAAAGACATGAGGCCACACTCTCGTGTGGAGAACACAGTAAGTTCAGAGAGAGGGGGGGAGGGAATTTATGCGCTTTTACCTATTTTTTTTAAATTCAGCGTATTTATTTGTACTCTATTGATGGACTTTATCTGCAAGGTTATTATTGAGGCGGAAGCGACTGGAATGTATCAGACTTCATAGAAGGTAAATGAGTTTCCCAGTGTTTCCAGGGAAACCAGAACGTTTCCTGGGGGAAATACCTGTGCCTGAGTGTTTGATCCTAAGTATATCATATGTGCTGGAACAAAGACTCCTTCAGAAAACCTCACTCAATCTCCCGCGTAGCTGCCGCACATCTACTGTACTGCTGTCAGACTGTAAATCACTATCTTTTCCGCTTTCAGCTTTGTACGTACAGGCTGTTACTTTCAAGTCATCTTCATGGAAGTTTAAGGGGAACTAGGCCCATTTTATTAAATTTTTTTTATTTGTATTCATCTGTGTTATACCTATGGTCTAAGACAGTTAAAAAAAATACTTCACGTAACCAACTCTGCCAAATCAAACCAAACTGGGGCTAAAATTCTAATTAGTACTGCTCCATAGACAATCAATTGGGAAAGATGTTAAAATCAATCTCCCATTTATTGTCTATGGAACAGCTCCATACTTTATACTTGATGACAGAGAGTAGCTCGTGTTCACACATGTCGATTGAAGTTTCCTTGTCCTTTGACTTCAAATATTGGAATTCTTAAAAAGACATATTTTTGGTCTTACCTGCAACTACAGTGAAATAGTTTCTACATGAAAGTGCTCACAACAAGGTCTGTCTTATCCTGGGTAACCGGGTCATGATTTCTGGAGAGAGAAACCACTGTTGAGGTTTTTTGGCGCCTCGAGCACCACAAGCCGAGTGCCATCTAGTCCCAATATATTGGGGAGAAGGCAGACATCTCTATGGCCGAAATTTGCAAAACTAGGCAAATCACAATGTAGATTGTTAAATAGCACGACAGGTAAGAGGGAAATTAGGTTTAATTTAGGTGGTGTTCCCCTTTAAATCCTAGAAATAACACTCTAAAATGGCTGCATGCAGTCCTTACTGAACCCACTGACTCAGCACTATTGAGATAGTCATATGTTCCCATTTAATAACCACTGGCTAACAACAGTCATTTAAAGAGGAATTTAAGACGAGCAAGGAAGTAATATAAGAGGGTGAAACAGTAAGGGCCTTATGAATAAATAATAGAGAGACGCCCAACCATAGCACACCGCTCTTAATGATGAGGATTCTAATTATCACCAGTAATAAACCTGAACGCACAGCGATAAACAGCATCCAAGGGCTTCAGAAGCATTCATGTATAAAATGTCATTCCTACAGAGGAAACCTTGAGTTTAGATTATGTCACCACACGACCATTACCCAGATACAAAAGGAACCTCTAAGCTCACAGTAACAAATGTTGAAAAGGAATAAGGGGCATTGCTAAGATGTACAAAATAATGTATTTAAAATAAAAAAATCAATAATAATCCCAATTCCTTATATTTTCCAATTTTCCAATCTCTTGTGATTCCTACTACTGCATAATAAATCTCCGTACTGCCCCCAGGCAGTGTTAATGGTGATCATATAGGCTTATAAAGCTGACTGTAGCGTGCTGCAGTCCTAAAACCCAGAAATGAGTCGGAATTATCACACTTCGGGCTCCAAATATGGCTTAAAAAAGATGGTTGTCTAAATGAGACGATTAAACGTGCTCACTAAATGTGACCGGGTGTAGGTGGTTTATAGACTAACGTTAGCTTTTTACCTCTATTATTGACGTCCTGTTCTGGATGTTCATGATAGCTTTTACTGGAAATGTTTTTAAATTACATTACATTTTACATTACATTACAGTCATTTAGCAGACGCAAAGCGACTTACACTATTCACTTGTCTCTCCAAATGTCTCTAAATGTCTCTCCATCTTCTTTTTTGTAATAGCGGTTAAAACCCCCTCTCTTTGTATGTTTCCTCCTGTCTCGAATCAGACGATCCGTGGAGCCGGACACTACGTGTACGCCGACCAGCCGGAGGACTTCAACCACAGAGTCTTGGAAGCGTGTGACGAAGTGGACTGAAGCGGAGACGAGCCTTGGACACTGAACTCTGGAGACCAATAACAGACTTAACTTCAGCAGGAAGCAGGACACGCAGGATTCCACTTCCTTAAAGCACGAATATTTTTACATCATGTGAAAACAAGTGTGAATAGACACCGTTTGTTCTGCATGTTTTTGTGAGAAAACACAATGAGACTCAATATTTTAGGACAAGCCTTTCTAATATGATATAATGATATTATATTTAGTCACATCTTAAATGATATCGAACTGAAACCGAATCAATGTCATTCAAAAAAGCTCAGTTACAGTGTCGGGTGTTAGGTGTTTCCTGTATAGAGCTCAACCTGCGGCTTGTGGTCTCTCCATACGAGTCTGACGCAGACAGGAAGAGCCCCCTTCAGTACATGACTGCATCAGCACCATGAAGCAGCTATAGATTTATCTGCAGCAAACAATATTCTCTTTTATAGCGGATGTCCTCTGTGCTTGATTTTTGGCTTTTTTTTATTCCACTACAAAATGTAATTTTGATTGCATTAGTTATGAATGTGAACCTGGATGGTTGTTTTTAAACCTACGAGACTGTTTTACACTCTACTGCTGTCTACAAAAAACATTTTGAACACATGATCTTAATATGCGATGTACAGATTAAGCCTGGAAATAATCATTTGATGAATTTTAGAGAAATGCCAGTTAAAGTTGCTTCTTAATGCTAAACTCAACTGGAGCCTTATATATATGATGCCTCAATGCCTAATATCTACCTACACTGCAGCCTTAAACTGCATTTTCTCTACTGTCCAGCACGGGGCGACTCCTCTGGCAGTGTTATCGTATAGAAGTCTATGAGAAAATGACTCTACTTCTCTCTTGATTTATTACCTCAGTAAACATTGTAAACATGAGTTTATGGTCTCAATCTCTAGTTTCAAGTCTTCTTCAGTACAGCATGATGTTCATTTAGTAGATTATGCTCCATTTAGAGTCAAATAGACATCTGTGTCTAATAACATATATATATATATATCCACAAATACTTAAAAGTTGGATATTAGTCATAATAATAAACCTAAATGTTTGAGATGTCCTCTGTTGCTGTAGAGCAACTTTCTGAAGTCTGGACAAACATTGCTTGTTGATATCATCAGGGTAATCTCAGTTTGCACATAACAAATGTACAGCAGTTTAGTCAAGCTGCATTATGGGAAGTATAAGACAGTGATTTTAGAAAATTCTATAAGTCAGGATTCTTGACCTCTGGTGCATTGGATTTGACCACTTTTATCTCTCTCTCTCTCTCTCTCTCTCTCTCTCTCTCTCTCTCTCTCTCTCAAGTCACCTAATTTAATAAAAGTGCAGTAAGAGTAACTGCAGTGTTTCATTGCATTAAAATGATCTACGTATTAAAGAAACCAGTGGATAGTGTGCTCAGCCTATATATGGGCATACCTGTCTACCCCTTCTGGTGCTACTTTAGAAAGAATTCATTCAGTTGAACACAGTTGGTGTCGTAATCGAAATGCTGTCATGTAATCTGCATCTACAATATGAAAGGCAGGAGCTCGTAGAGTTTAAAGAGGCGATCGGAAGAAAGTCACGATGCAAACACGTTACTGGGAAATACTTCCTTGAATTAGTTGCTTAACAGTCGTAAAAATAAAATTGCACAAGTTATATTGCTAAAAACAAAGTTTCCTCCTGTGATATTTCAAAATTGTGAACACAAATAAATTGTTGGCTATGATCATTGTTCACCTGCTGCTCTGCATGGTGAATAATGAAGGTCTCATTTGAATCCATATTTTTAAATCATTAAGTCCCTTAGCAGTGAAGAGAGACGATCCCGAAGCGTTTGTGTTCTCTGTAGTTCCCCTCACGGCCACTAGAGAGCGCTCATGTAAATGAGGAGACGTGGAGCTTGTGTACAAATGTGACAGTCTCCTCTCTGTTGAGCTAATATCTCAGCTCATTTCCAACTTTTTTTAAATCTCATTAGCAGAGAGAGAGAGAGCAGTCTGAAACTAACATGAGGTATGTTTTCCACATTGATAATTACCAAAAGGGTGTTTGAGGACAGAGGAGGACACAAGTAAATGGGCCGAGGGTCCCTCCGTTTCCATCCCTTGGATCCAAACTCAACATTAAAACAGACATCGACCGTAAAAAGACATCCTATCTGCTTTGATTCTCTCTGCTCATTGATCGATGCAGGGGAAATATGCAAGCTCATGTAAAAGTCACGTGTCCGGAAGGCAGATTGTCCCACTCAGCTGTTAGGGGAGGTTTCTCTCTGTGGTTCAGTAGCTGGGTGATTAACCCGGGAAACAGAAGGGAATATTGTTCCCTTCATTAAGAAACTTCTTCAGGATTTAAGAACAGTACATCATGCAATGAACTCGGGTGCACACTGGGAAAGCTACAGCAATGCCTCTGTCTCTGACATGAGACCATTAAACACGACGGGGCGGGGGTGGGGCCACTGTGAGTCACTCCACTCACCGAGAGCGGCCCACTGAAATGAATCACAGGATTGATTACGGGAGCTACAGTTTTCAAACACTCATCCAGTCAAATCAGATGGGGAGGTGCTGCCATCATCGGAAAATCAAGGTCCAAATGGAGGCAGCGGATCTTGCGAGGTCGCAAGGGATTCGGTGTACGGAGGCACAGCAGCGCCTATATGTGAATAATGGAGTGCTGCAGTTCCAGTCTGGTTTTGTTGTGTCATGCCTAAAAAAGCTTGTCCGGCAGACAGCAGTCAAAACAGCTTCTGTATCATGCAGTTCTCTATCGTGTTCGAGACTTTTCTCCTCCCTACATGTTCTATATATACGGGGGCTGTACAAGCCCCCAGAAAGAACGGTGGGAAAATTATACATTGTTATCGGCTCACGATAAAAATACATGGACACCAATATTTTTATTTTTTGTTTCTCAGGAGCAAAATAATGACAATGGAAAGTCATTTAAGATCCTATTTTGTGGTGGACAGACAAATGAAATGCATCCACGACACTAAGCAACAGTAGAAGTAAGCGACGTAGTTTTTAATATCTAAAAAGAGCACTTTTGGGAGGCAGTGAGGGGAGGTGAATGGGTCCAACAAACAGGACTTTCAGCCACGAGACCGTTGATCAACACCGTGTTGTGGTTTAATGGATTGTGGTTTTGTTGCCTAAACCAAACATTTCTGACAGTTTTCCTAAACCTAATTACGTGGTTGTGTTGCCTCAACATAATTCATTTTGTTGCCTAAAACTAACTTTATGTAGTTCTCTTAAGCCCAACCATGTTTTTTTTTATCTAACTTAGTCGTTTTTGTAGCTTAACCCTTATGTTGTCCCAAAAATGAAGCGTACAAAATGGCCAATTCACGTCACTGTACACAAATCCATCAGTCACAAGTCCACGAACTGCCACGAACTGCCGTGAGACTGTGTTGCTATTGCAAATGACTCAAGGCCCTTACACACAAATAAAAATGTGAAATACTTGCCTGCAAATATTTTGCATTAAAACTATTCATACTGGCAATGGTGCAGTTTGCAGCAGTTGCAACACTTTCTCAATTAAAGGTTTCATTAGATTCACTCAAACAGAGGACCAACTACCAGGATCCTATTGACCCAGAGCAGCGTCTGGAAGTCTGTCTGAAGTAAACTTGGTCGTATAGCCTAAGATACTGTAAGATATTTTATTGAGTTTTCTTTTAGCCAAATGCTCTAAGTGAATTTCCCTCCGGTAAACAGTTACACAGTGTGTATGTTCAGGGCTTTTATTTTGAAAGGTAACAACAGAAGGAGTGTATCTGGTCCACGCTGCATTTGTCAAGGTTGAAAGGAGTAATAAAGTTGTCCCTCTTGGTTTGGACGACAGAGCCTCCCTGTTGTACACTATAAACTATAACATTCACATTCTGTGTGAAAGTAGTCCTGGTTCATAGTTCAACGAATTATATTGCCGTGCAAATGAATGCACGACAAAAACAAAAAAAGGCAAAGTGGTTGTTGGTGATAACAGTATCATATATTCTCATGGTGACAAGCATCCATTTTGGGGTGTATGTTCAAATTATAAGGGAAGTATATCAAATGCTCACAATAATAGTATTTCTGTTTTTTAAAAAGACGTAACGAACACAGAGGGACTTTTGGAGTAAATAAACAGCCCTGCTGCCTCACTGAGGTGGAAGTATCGGCTCCCTTTTACCTCAGAACATGATACACTTGTCATTAACGACGACTGGCACACTGATTGTATCAAGTGCTGATATGAGTGAGCGGAGGAGGAAGAGGAGGAAGAAGAAAGGCAGAGGGAGACAGGAGGAGGAGGTGGAGGAGAGAGACCTTTACTCTGGAGCACAGACCCGGCCAGACCAGGCTCGTCTCGTCTGGGTTGCTAGGAAACCGGCGAGGCACCTGATCTAATTTATTAAATTCCGCCTCCTATGTAGCTCTCCCTTTTCTCTTCCTGTGTCTGTCTCGCTCGCTCGCTCACTCTCCCCGTGCTGCTTTCCCCTATCTGCCGTTATCTTTCCCACCCTCTAAGGCGCTTATCTCCCTCCCTTTCTCCCCTTCTCCTCACTCTTCCCTCCCTCTCTCTCTCTCTTTCTCTCTCTCTCTCCAGCTGCATGTGTGTATATATATCTTTCTCTCTCTCTCTTTCACCATCCTCCCTCCATCCCAGACCTCAGACAGCGTATCTTCTCGGGCTGTGCGGCAGTGCCACCCCCGTATCTTTCACACCGAGCCGTGAGTACCGCCCTCAGGCAGGCCAGACCTTCTGTGACTTATCAAGCACACAAAACACACACACACACAAGTAAACACACAAACACACAAAACTGCATTACCATTTAGACTGTGACTTTGTCTCGCTTTGCTGTTGGGAGTCTAGATTCATAAATGTTGATGTATTAGCCGTTCACTGCGAGGCACTATGCTCTGCTCGTCGCCTGAATTATTCAACATCGCCGTCGTTATCTTCAACCTGATCAATGATCATCTGCGTTCAGGATAATCGATAAAGGAGTAGGTACATTTAGGGAATGCTTCAGAGTGCCTCTGCCAAGGAATAGAGTTGAAGCACAAAAAAAGTGTGTACGTGTTCTCCAGGAGTTGCCAGTGTTTCGGTGTCGCTTTTCAAACACTAAAGCAGACAGAAGTAACAGTGTGCTGCGACAGCTGAGGACTGACACCATACACACAACATATATATATACTATATATGATTGTTCTGATGGGCTGGGATGCACCAGTTATCTGTAAATGCGATTCTTGGTTTGTCTGTCAAGCCCTTCTCATGCTTTTAGGAACTACTAACAGCAGCCACTGTCTGGCAATGATAGGATAATGGAGAAAGCTGAAATAAAGTTTAAAGCTACTACGAGGAACTTTTCTTTTGTGTTGATTTTGGCAGTCCCTGTGGACAAAAGCGGTAGTGTTTTTATGAGTACCATTGTCCTTTTAGACAACCTCTCAGACTAGCGGAGCAGCGAGGGCGAAGCTAAAGGTGCCACTGCCGCCGGGCGTGCAGCTCTCCACCTCTTACCTAAGCTCCGACTGCAGGTCGAAGGCGGAAGCAAAGCCGGATCTGGGTCTGTCTGTGTTTGGCTGTCACCACCAAGGTGACATCATTTATCTGTTTGTAGGACGCGAAAAAAACGTAAACAACGTTGGGAGCTTTTCTGCTGAGTCAGCTGAAGATTTTTCAACTCGAGACGTTCAGTGCACTCCTTCAGAATCGTGAAGTGAAAAAAAAAAAAGTGAGGCATCCAGCAATGCAAAAGCAGTCGAAAACAATTACAAAACAGCTGCTAAAAGGCGCTACGTCTGATTTCTTTTTAGTTCTTCAAGATGTACTGTATTTAAGCATCTGTGGA